ACCATATATCCCCGGTTAAGAAAATCTAGAAACCGCAACATCTATTTTAAAAATGATTTGTTTAATTCGGATCTACCTTGGTGAAAGTAAAACTAATTGCTGAAAATAAAATTTTTTTGAAAAATTAAAAACTAGACCATCTATAAGAAAAATTAGAAACCTCAAAGTCTATTGATAAACCGAATCATATTTTGCAAAAAGAAACTAATCGTTGAGAATAAACTATTTTTCGAGAGAAAAATTATCCACCGTCTACTTAAAGCAAAACTAAATGCAGGAAAGAAGCCATTCCCGAAAGAGTCTACCAGTGATTTTTTTTATAAACTTGTAATTTGATGATTTGCCGAAAACTGACTAATATCATTGAGCGGGTCAGCTCAAATGAAAACATGAACATCAAAATCAATTAAAGTGAAACTAAAACGATAGAACTGAAACAGATCCCAAAATACCTAAATTTGAACAAAAAAACTAACAAAAAAGACCAGTAAAACTGAAATCGACCCCAAAATACCTAAATTTGCCACTATTCTACTGGGAGTTGAAGACGATGAGAAGACAAGAAAGAAACGAGATAAATTTGGACAAGAAAGACCCCAACTTCAGTTTCTATGTTTATAAGTTCAAATTTTGTTTGAAAATTATTTATATATTCTTTTATAATAACAAGATGACTGAGTTAATGTGTTATTTGTCTGGGTAAATTAATACGTTATACTTTTTTAATTGTATGGTTTGCTTTTTTACAATTCACATAAATTGGAAGATGAAAATATAAAATTCTTGCAGTTCTATAATCAAATGTATCAATATTATGGAAGATTTGAAGTCATTGTTCAATACGTAAATTGCTGTATCTGTATAAAAGTAAAGATTGTACTCTTAAATTTTAATAATAACTGCGTTGAAAGTTGTTTACTCTTTATATTTGTCTTTGAATTTGTGGTCAAATATCTTTTGAATGTGTAGATTTATCATCGTGTTTAAATTTATTGGTGGTTTGATAGTGTTTTAAACAAAAAAATGTGTATTTATTTCATCTTTTAACAATCATAAAAGTATGAAATTGTGTAAAAATGGTTCATGTGAAAAGTGTGATTGATTTTTATTGAAATAAATCAACACAGTCGCAACAATATGAAAAAAAATAAAAAGTTAAGATGTCAAGAACAAGAGATCACATACGTCATTTTAAAAAAATCAATTATTTCCAATCCATGTAAATTAATTAAAATATATAATTTATTAAAAACGCTCCATGACTTATATTAATAATGAAAAGAAATATCACTATATTTTTAAATGATAATAATGACTTATATTAATAATGAAAAGAAATATCACTATATTTTTAAATGATAATAACAAAATAGAATAGATTGCATTAATATATAAACAAAAATTATATTATTAAAGGGTTGTATAATAAAGATAAAAAATGTGTAGATCTGATTATATATAAATACGTTTTTATTTAGTATATCTATTCATTTAATAGTCCTCATGAACATGAGATATCTTATTATTTTCCTTTTATAATCTTGATTTATGGAACACGGGTTAGTTTCCAAATTACATGTTATCATCCTCTGAAGCAAATTAGATTTCATTGTTAGTAGTTTACCTTTTTATTACTTTCTTGTCAAAGTTGGGTGTCGAATTATACATGATTCCAAATAGAAATAATTACCGAAAGAAATTATTCGCACCCGTCGCTTGGCACGGGTAAACAACTAGTATATATATATATATATATATATATATATATATATATATATATATATATATATATATATATATATATATATATATAACTTGATTACTTAACAAACAGATGGCGACGACCCATTTGGTTTGCTTAATCAAACTTTTATATATATATATATATATATATATATATATATATATATATATATATATAGGCTTAGGTTATTTTGTTTTTACTAACTATTGTGTGTCAGAATGCACAGATCTGGACCACCGGATGAAATAGAATCAAAGGTTATGATCTGAGGGTCTATGATATTAGAATATGATAACATGTACCATATAATCACACTAATTTCAGCATAAGGGCAGTTTAGTCAATTAACCTATATTAAAAAAGGAAATTTTCGGATTTTTAGGGATAATTAATTCTTTTATTTTAAAAAATATGAATATTTTAAATTAATTCAAATTTAAAAATCCGATTTTATTCTGTCAGAATGATAAAATGTCAACCATAAACTAGTAAATATATTTTCCGATTTTATTCTGTCAGAATGATAGAATGCCAACCATGAACTAGTAAATATATTTTCGATTTTATTCTGTCAGAATGACAGAATGTCAATCATAAACTACTAAATACATTCAGAAAGAATACACAAAATCGATTCTTGAGCTAATAATATACCAAATAATTACATTGTATGATTGTGATTCATTGGATAATAACAACATTCTGAATAAATAACAAGTGTAATTCCTAAAAAATAACAACATTCTTAATTACATTGTATGAGTGTGATCATTCTTTAATTCATTCTTCAAGCTTTTCCCATCAGGTCTTCAAGTCATTCTTCAAGCCATTTCTTTGTAGTGATACACTTGTAACAACCGCACATTAAACATATAAACAATTAACTACAATTCTATCAGAATACATCAATAAATATTCTTACAGAATAAACTATTCTTGCATAATGGTTTTGAATATTCTACCAGAATCGCTATTTTACACATGTTTATTGTTTTTTACATTCTAAATCCAAACTGAATGACATTCATACTAACATGAAAACAAGCCTTGAGCAAGCTATATTTACAGACTTCAAAAACATATTACAGCCTTATTCTCCAATGAAGAAAGAAAAACACCCCTACATGGCGTGTTTATTAACAGGCTATTCACAAATATCATACAAATCAATCATATGCTACTCCATTCATAGCATTCTATGTAGAAAAAGAATCAATGAATAATAACAAAGACTTACATGTGCATCAGTAAAAGATATGTCAACATTTTCCCATTGTCGGATGCAATCGTGGGTTTACTTCAAGTTTTCTCTGCTCCTTTCACAAAAAGGTATAAAAGTCTGCATATTTCTCCAATTCAGGCTTTTACTGAGTCAACTTTCTTTTTGTTCAGATTTACTCATGCCTCACAGCTCGCGATAATGCTGCTTTGTAAAGGCCTCATATTCACATGCTTTGAATAATGCTTCAAGAATGGAACCCCTTATAGAGTGCACTCATTGTCACTCTCATTCGTTGATGACTTTTCACAAACACTTTAAAGGCAGAATTTTGAAGACCAGATTCTGAAGGTATACCTACAATATACAAGATCAGCAACAAAAATAAGTTGACAAACATTTTATTATAAAAGATTTGGAATCGGGTTAACTTTATTTGGGAAATTACATCAAGCCTAACATGTTTAAGTTAATTATTGAGTACAAGATAAAGATGCAAGAAAAATTGAACCTGAGAATTAATAGAAACTTGAAAAGCAATTGAAAATCAAATTGTTCAACTGATGTAGTGAATAGAATGTCGGCTACGAAGGAGATAAGAATCAAACCTCATCCTGATTGGTGTTTAATTTGTTTTACATTATTCGGTTATACCCCTGTCTTCAAATTGAACCCCTTCCTCTTCAAGATTCGTGTTGAAGTTATCTCTAATCAATCATCCATCGGTGTTCAAACTGAAACGAAAATCTGGAAGATGAAGGCTGATTGAAATGGTTTAGATCGATGACAGCGGACGGAAATGATGGTTGTGACGGTCCGATCACACGCACAATAAAGAAGTGGAGGTTTTTCTCGTTGGATGCGACACCATCATCGTCGGTGAAGGGGCGATATATATCCTTCCCTCCTCTCTTCTTTGATCCTCGGAGGTTTGACCCTTCGGAGTGTCAAATAAGGGAGTGATAGTCGGCTGGTAGAGGAGCGGCAGTGAAGTTGCCGGTTGAGGTGAGGCGACAGATTTTTGAGGCCGATCGTTTAAATATAAAGAGGGGAGAAGATTAGGTTTTAGAAAGTTAATGAATTACCATAATTAAATATGCAAATATTACTATAATACCCTTACATGATTTATTTAATGATTTATTATTTTCTCAATTCTCATTGGTGCATACATACACACAATAGTTGCTGTAAACATTTGAACCTACCTCTCTCTCTCTCTCTATATATATAGATATATATATTATATATATATATATATATATATATATATATATATATAGATATATATATATATATATATATATATATATAGGTTCAGGTTCATTTGAGACCATTCTAATTTTGTGAGACCGTAAGACCAAATCTAAAAATAATTTTAAAATGCAAAATAATGGAAAATCCAAAAATTCTTTTTTTAAATATTATTTTCGGAACTAGAATTAACTAAAAAAAATAAAAAAAATAAAAAAAATCCCGTTTTTTTTTGAAAAATACGTGAATATTCTAATAGAATATTACACTGACATATTCTAAAAAATAATTTTAAAATGCAAAATAAATGGAAAAATCTAAAAATTCTTTTTTTAAATATTATTTTCGGAACTTGAATTAACTAAAAAAAATAAAATAAAATAAAATAAAATAAAATAAAATAAAAAATCCAATTTTTTTGAAAAATACGTGAAATATTCTAATAGAATATTATACTGTACATATTCTAAAAAATAATTTTAAAATGCAAAATAAATAGAAAACTCCAAAAATTCTTTTTTTAAATATTATTTTCGGAACTTGAATTAACTAAAAAAAATAAAAAAAAATAAAAAAAATAAAAAAATAAAAAAACGTCTCACGGTCTCACAAAATTAGGTCGTCTCACATGAACCTAACCTATATATAGATATATATATATATATATATATATATATATATATATATATATATATATATTATAACACTCATTGAATTCGACATGCTATATACATACACTTATAATCTCAATTTACCAAAACTAGAAATTCTTATTAAACATAACGATCGATAATAATAGCCACCGAGTCAAGTCTTTTTTTTTTTTTTAATTGTGTATTTTCTTAACGTCTGGAGGAAGCAGCAGGGATAGGTCTACTGGGACTCGGTCGCAAGGTGAGTGTAAGCGGGTTCGCCATTTCACAAGAAAGCTTCAATACCTCTGACAAGTCAACGTTGTATCCATCACATTCACTCCTCCCAAACTCAAACTCCTGCAACAGGGAAGCCACCCAAAAGGTAACCGTCGTCATCCCAAGACTCTTCCCCGGACAACTTCGCCTACCCGATCCAAACGGCGCCAGCCTTAAATCAGATCCCATCACCGACGTATTCATCAATCCTTCCGCCTCAATTATAAACCTTTCTGGTCGAAACTGTAAGGGCTCTTTCCAGATTTGTGGGTCCCGGCAGATGGCCCACATGTTAACCATAGCCGTAGTCCCTGCTGCTACGTCATGACCGTCGATGGTGGTGTCCTTGATGGCTAGACGAGCCCACGAAAGAAGTGGGCCTGGTGGGTGTAGCCTCAGAACTTCTTTCACCACCGCCTGAAGATACACCAAATGGGTGACGTCAGATTCGGTCACCACACGTGACCTCCCGACGACCCTCCGAAGCTCGTCTTGGAGCTTTGATTGAACATCCAGATGAAGCACCAACCTTGCGAGGATCCATTCCATCAGCACTGCTACCGTGTCGGTGCCTCTGAATATCATTTCCTGTCGTTCGTACGTCAATAATCGATCAAGTAGATTATATATTAATTAATATATATATATATATATATATATATATATATTAATATACATGTGGTGTGCGTATTTTTGTAATTAATTATTCGACAAACCTCACCCTAAAAGGGTTTTATTATAGTCTCAAAATATTACTATTTATATCATTAAATTTCTAAATATAGTCTAGTGAAAAATGGAATAGGTCAAAGACTGCCGCCATAACTGGATAGTAGAGTTTTGGAGTGTAATTATTTTATTTTCTTTTTCTTTTTTCAAAAAGGTTTTCTTTGTATTTTCCTCCGTTGAATAGAAATCTAATGATTTCGTGTGTATATATATATATATATATATTATATATATATATATATATATATAGATATATATATATATATATATATTGTGTGTGTTTCTTCGTTCGTAAGCAAATAAGGTCAGCTGCTTACCCAGAGTACCGCGATCATATCCGATTCAGATAATATATCGGATCCTTCAAGTGATAACAAGACGTCGGTGAAGTCACCGTTGAGTGGAACCAGTTGACCTCGGTGTTCGTCAATGATCTGTTTGACAAACCGGTTTACTTTGGGAACGAGTTTGGAGCACCTGGAACGAATCCCTTGCAAATCAAAATCAGCCAACCATGGAAGGTGATCTGTCCAGTTGAGCATACCCAAAAGCTCATATCCTTCATCCACAAGCTCTCTCATCTCCACGGACTCGACATCATTTGAATCCAGTCGGTATCGTCTTCCAAACACAGAGCACATCATGTTACTGAGAGAAGCTCGCTTGAGCAATTCGCGAACACATACAGAGTTCGGTCCTCTTTGCTGCTGTTTATGATGAAACATCTCCACCATCTGATAACAAATCACCATCCTCTGCTCTTCAGAGACTTTGATTTGTTTCGGACAAAAGAGATGCGTGGCTGCAATCCTTCGTAACGTCCGCCAGTAAACGCCATAAGGCGCGAACCCAATGCCTCGGTTGAACATCAAGCTGTACGCAGACTCCTTGATAGGACGGTCGGCAAAAGCAGGGCTGTTAAGGATATCCTTGGCGACGTCAGGGTTGCAAGTGACGATCACACGCGTTTCGCCCAAGCTAAAGGCCATTAAGCGGTTGGCACGGCAGGACTGTGCAGCGGTGGCGATCTTACGGTGAGCGAGGCCAGACATGAGGTGCATGCTGCCAATGAAAGGGAAGCCTCTGGGACCGGGGATGGTAGATTTGTGTTTGGACCATTGGAAGAATAAGTTAATGAAACAGGCAAGAGCAAAAATGAAGAAAAAATTGATGGTAGTGCATTTAGAGGAGAGGGCAAAAAGCCATAGAGTGTCGATGTTGGTTGTCATTTGATTGGGTTGTTTGTTGCAGGGGGGGTTGTGGAATGAGTATGGTATTTATAGGAAACCAGCGGTAACCGCCCGATAGGGTCTTGGTTGATTCCTTTTTGGTCAAAGGTCAATTCACTACTAAACTAAACCATAAACATGGGTTTTTTCTGAACGTTTATATACTTCATAAAAAAATCAGAAACTTCTAATATGGTTAATAATAAAATTGATGATTTGGCCGATGTATGTCATGTTTATCAACGTGGTATTAACAAAATATCAATATAGACCTTTTTAATTAATATGTTTAGTTGTTATTATTTATACAATAAAAGATCTTTGGCTTATGAACATTAATTTGCATAAGCCGGTTTGGGGTATGGAGCTGCGGCTTATGCTTTTTGCGTTGTCATCGTCTCATCTTTGCTATCCTCCAATCTATTTGTTCCATCTATTGTAATCGATTGAAGCCTCCATATTCCCAATGCGTTTCCTCCGGATGCTCCAATATTCATACACACTCTTTCCTTTAGAAGACCAACTACCTTCTTGCTCAATAGCACCGAAGCAACTCTACTCCAACACCTCCACCTTCATCCCCAAATACTTGCCGACTTCCTTTCTCTTTTTTGTCTATTTTTTTTACTAAATCCTTTGTCATCACCAATGCCTCGAATTTTCGTCGTTTGATTTATAAGGGCGATTTTTAAAGGTTCGGATGGATGAAACTTGAAGATACAGTTTCCATAAAGCTTTTGATATCTTGTCGCCATTGCCATCGCAAGAAGTGTTGTGGTTACATTTGATTAGGTCATCATCTTCTTTTGTATTGCTATACAACGTTCAAATCTTTTTGATTTGCGGGTTTTTGTTGTAGAGTTGCCAACCCATGGGCTTGATGGGATTCTAGCGTTTTCTTGCTATATAAAAGCACTTAAGCCCTAGGGCTTGTTCATTCTTTATGATAGGTTTTCTAGGTTACAATAATAATAATAATCAAACATGATTTGTACATCGGAATTTTCAAATAAAAAATTATGGGCACATGCAACCTAGAAATCTATGACATTTCTCATAATAGCAACATACTTTGAAAAACCTAAATTAATCTATGTAAATAAAAAATCACATGGAAAGAAACACATGCTTTTTGCTATAATCGAATATAGCAACAAAATCTCTTGAGTTCTACAAATGCTCCATGGAAAGCTAACATCCAATAGTATAAATGTCTCTAACGTTTCACACCCAAAACCCTAGTACATAAGAAAAACAAAATGAGAGGTTGGAAGAAGAGAACTTCGTTCTCCACCTTCTACGTATGATGTACCACGAAATTTAGATGCCCAAATGTTCTATTTATAGTTTAGATAACTTGCAGATAAATTAAGATTTGAACAATTAAATATTAGATTTAATCCACAGTTCAAATCCTTTCCCTTATCAGCAACCAAGAGGCTTCCAGAAACCCTAGAAAGTCATCCATAATCGTCCATACTCATGCATGGTTCTAGAATTGCTTCTATTGTTCAATTATTGAGTAATTACAATTCACCCATTGCACATTTAATTAATTCCAAGTAATCCCAAAATTAATTCCAGATTAATTTTGATTAATAGTTAATTATTCAAACCATTTCTAATTAATTCAAAATTAACTATTTACCATGTCTCATTAATATCTTAATCATATAATATATTAAAAAAAATCATTTTAGCTCTCTCTTAATATCAATTCTAGCTATTTCTAGTTGTTAGGGCAACCCAAAAGAACTTTACATTTATTCACTAAGATTATGTCAATTTAGTTAATACGTTAGACACCTTAATCCAACAGTCTCCGATTTAGATTAGTCATCAACTACAATTGCAAGTATATACTTTGAATACCCAGTAAAGAATACTTTCCACAGCCATTGTCGAACTCTAATAAAATCAAATGTTGGCCATAAAATAAGTGACCAGCTATTCATTCGTTCTATAATATATTGTATGGACATGCGACATGGATACAAATAAATCTCATGGTCCAAGATTATTAATGGTGTATGGGGTTAGCCCACACACAATAGTCGTTCGACACAAAAATAGTTATTTACCTGTCTTGCAAAAGTCATGCCAAAAGGAAGAGTAGAAAGGAAAACTAGAAAGTAAGACTAGAAAAGAAGGATAGAAGGACAGTCGGATAGAATATGGAATATCTTCCAAAGATCATGTCCAACTAAGAAGATCCGGCAAAGGACATAATATCCTATTATTATATTAATAGTTCAACACAATAGCGCATATAATATTAGATGATGTCTACCCTTCGTTGCATATAAATAGCAGCTCTGCACAAACAATCCAGGTAAGTGTTCTTGACTGACTTTAACCTTACTCTTTTATGGAGACATCCCTGCCTCTGCACAGTTGGCTCCATCCCGCTAGGTGGAGTCAACTATCGTTATACTAGAGATTTACTTGATCATTGGAGCTTGCTCCCGGGGCATAGTCCATGGGGCAAGTTCAACGGTCATGTTTCTTGCCGCTACTTAGGTTTTATAGTCGGAATCCAACAATGACGCACACCCAACGGACATATGATCTAGAGCAACGCCCGAAGAACCGACCACGAGACCGATGTAGCAGCAATTATGTTTCTTGATTTCTGACTTATACCAACTGACTTCAGACTACTAATTGAACACGTCAATTTAGTCCGGCGTCGGTCAAGTACTTCAGATTTCGGAAACAAATCATCGAGGGGCCCAAAGATACCGCTTTTCCTATTAAGGAAAAAGGAATGAATAAACTTTTTCTATATAATCATACCTTTTACTTATCATGTCATACATGAAATCACACTTTATGACATCCAGTTACATATGAGTTAATGCAAACCAATGTATAACAGACTTGCAAACTATGACTTATATATCTCTGTTTGAAGAATATAATATATTATTGTTAATGGGGTATGGGCTTAAACCCACATAGCACCAGGCCAGCCAGTGCACCTGGCCCGATAAAATAGCCACAAATGCAGGAACGATATCGAGCACGTAGGAAGGGAATCACCCTACTCCCGTACACACCCTACAAATTATCCCCAGGAAAGACGGAAAAGGCAAAGAATATTTTAACAAAAATAAGCTTTACCCTTACAACCTAAGGACCAATGCAAAACCCAAAAGAAGGAACCATGAACCAGTCCACGCCTCGACTATAAAGCAAGGTCCCATCCAACCCAAAGCAGGTAAGCCCTAACTGTTCGCAGTTCTATCAAATCCAACATTCATGCCCCAAATATGACTTTTAACATAGGCATCAGAGAGCAATATCAGGGTTCCACCCTCGGTATGGCTTTCTAACCCAGAATTGTCAACTTCATGTAACGTGTTGCTGGGAGTGCTCATTGGAAGAAGCTCATACACAAGTAGCCACACACACATCAGGGAAACCATGTAGCAACATTGGCACCCTTTGTATATAACAATGCAAGGAAAAAAAACAATATGTCTAACTACTGACACACCTTTTATTCCCATCAATGTGATACCGGCCTTCACACCAACACCATCAAGAACTCCAACCATTGAATAACAACAATGCAATATACTTCCTACCCAACCATTTTTGCATAATGACAAAGAAGCTAATAAGAGAACAACATGGAGCGAAAAAACAGCCAGGCAAACAACATCCGTCACAATAGAGATAGGTAGCGGGTTGAGCACAACAGGATGAAATACATGTAGAGGACCTACTAGACCTACTACAAAAAATGATAACCTTGCAATGCAAACATTACCGCCTTTTTTACAACAACACCTTACAAACACCCTAGCAACCTACCAAAACACGCAGCGGTACATACCATTGCCAACACCATTCCCATACGTGCATTATCAAGCTTACTGTCTGCCTCAACATCAACCTATCAAAATCACGTAGTAGGAAAAATGGTCAAAGTCGTTATCTTCGTTTCAGGATAAATAAAAATGAAGGCATTCATAAGAAACCAAGAATATATATTTTTTTCTTCTTAAATAATGTAGCTCGGTCAATCGACTACATCTTTCTAAAGGTCGAAGTTCAAAACTCCAACCTAGGCTATCTACTTAGCCCAATTATATCTTTATTCTTCTTAAATAATGTAGCTCAGTCAGCCGACTACATTTTTCTAAAGGTCGAACTACAAAACTCCGATCTAGGCAACCTACTTAGCCCAAGAACATCTTTATTCTTCTTAAATAATGTAGTTCGGTCATCCGACTACATATTTCTAAAGGTCGAAGTTCAAAACTCCGACCTAGGCCACCTACTTAGCCCACTAATGTCTTTATTTTTCTTAAATAATGTAGCTCGGTCAGCCGACTGCATCACTCTAAAGGTCGAAGTTCGAAACTTCAACCTAGGCTACATGCTTAGCCCAAGAATATCTTTCTTCTTCTTAAATAATGTAGCTCGTTCAGCTGACTACATCTTTCTAAAGGTTGAATTTCAAAACTCCAACCTAAGTTACCTGATTACCAAAGAATATCCTTATTCTTCTTAAATAATGTAACTCGATCAGCCACTACATCTTTCTAGAGGTCGAAGTCCAAAACTTTGACGTAAGCTACCCGCTTAGACAAAAAGCTTACATCTTCCAAAAAACAAATAATACATGAAACGCAAGTTACGACAAAAAGGAAAAGGATCACAGTTGACCTCCTTCCAAATTTTTAGTTTCTCCCCAAAAAATACAAGAAGATCAAGCAACCAGTATAGAACCAACCTCGACCTGTATCGCATACCTAGGATATATATATGAAGAAAAATATTATCAGGATGGCCACACAAGAAGATCAGTCATACAAATATACGTCTAAAAAACAATCAATTTTCTACCACAAGGATTAGCACAAGGGACAAATCATCATAAGACAACATTGCAACGAAACACAAAGCATCCAAATCCAGAGTCATAAAACCCAACATTAGATGTAATATAAATGGACATAACCAAATTTTATGATTCATGGAAACAAGAGGAATTATAACAAAG